TGTCTCCCTGCTCTGTTCTGACGACTGCCTCTTGGTCCAAGCACAGGTTTCGCATTAGCACAATCAAATGTTCTGGGATTTCCATTCTTCTCAGAGTCAGCCATAGCTTGCTGTGATCCACACAGTCAAAAACCTTTGCACAGTCAATGAAGCACAGATAGACATTCTTTGGGTATTCTCTGTTTGACTGTAGTTGAGTCAACCGTTGCTATAGTGATAAAATTTTAATCAAAATAAAACAATGTGTCTCATAAGAAAGAGCAAGCAAAAATATAATAATCATTTTTTTCCATGAATGGAAAATAATAGGATGAAACTTACAAATTACAGCATTGGCCTAGTAACACCTATAAAATATTCATAATCAATGATTAAAAAATAATCAAGGTAAAAATTATTTTTAAATTTATAACTATTAAGAAAGGCTTCTAATTATATTCCACTAATTAAAGCACTAATTATTTTTTCTAAATTACACCTTTCGTTAAGAATATATGGTCTATTCAGGACTTAGAAGAAGATTTTTAATTACTCCATTCCCTTGAGTTTTTCATGACAAAATACTTAGAAAATTATTTTTGATACCTGACATTCTTAATATTCCAAATCATATTTTTACTTCCTTTCAAATAGCTAAAGACTCAATAAAGTGGTTTCTACAGTGTATGTTAAGCAATATCTTTTTTTTTTCCAGGAGTAAAAGTACCCAGCATTTACTCTGTACTCTACAGATTAATCTAGATTTAAAAGGAATGTTTTGTTTTTGTTTGGGGTTGTTTGTTTTTGTCAGACAATTGGAAAGAAAAGTAGTCTAATTTCATTAAAAAAAGTAAAAGTAGTATCATTTCATACCATTTCTTCACAATGAATGTTATTCGTAAGACTCAATTACCTGGAGAAAAAGAATTAAAGTGCTGAAATGCTTGTTAAAAAATAATAAATCACTTCAAATTGAAAGACCAGGATTGGGATTCTCTCTTTCTTATTCCTTTTCCAGCAGTATCACAGTCTCAAGCACATTCGTTTCTATCAAACATCTGACCTCCCCAAAGGCCGCTGCACTCTAACACAGTTATCAAAAAATACTTCAGATTTTTCCACTTTTCTCGTTTACAGTCTCAGGGCAAGTTTCTTCCATCGATTTCTACACACCATTCTGATAGAGTCTAAGGGGAGTGCTGTACACAAGTCAGTAGTGCAAAATGAGCCCTGGACAAGCAATGTTTGCCCCTCACATAGGAAAGTTTTCCAGTTTCCAGCTTTTTATTTTCTAAATAATGTGCTCAAATTTTTAGTGCTTTTTCTACGTTTCTTCTAACAGCTCCAGGTATAAAGTTCAATTGTTGGCAAACTAATTTTAGCTACAATTTTAATATAATCTTTCTTTCATTTATTGTCATTATAGCCCTAAGGTCAGGGAGGTTTGAACACTGCTACTGAAACTGACTTTTTAAAAACATAAATTAGAATATCTAAAACCAATTCATGGTTTATAAGAAGAGTGTTAATGAGATCCTGTAGTTTTATACTTTTATTAGTTTGCCAAAGAGAACGAAGGTGGTTTGTTATTTCAGAGGTAGAAATTTTGTTAGGATAATTTTTGCTTCAAGTAACAAAATAGCCATATAAAAGTAATTTGAGCACAAGACTATTTTGTGTCTTATTTTTGAAGACTCTTGGAGTGAAGGATTAACACCTCAAAAATGTCAACTTCCAGAGTTAATTTTCCTCTTCTTGATTTTCTCCCTCATGATCACAAAATTACTGTAGGACCTTAAACTTCAGGTCCTCACACCTTTCATGACTTATTCTCTGAATTTAAAATGCAGGAACGGACTCTCATTTTCCCTGTTCGCCTTTTAGTAACATAACTGAATAAACTCAGTTTTCTTTACAATGAAGTGGGAGGAATGAATATGAAACCAGTCCAAAGAATCAACTGTTGAAACTCTATTCTAGAACACAGCTTTATTTATTTGTTAATATGTTTACTTCTGGCGTACTCACATACATGGGAAAAGAACCTGACAAAAATAAACATGTTGTGTGTGAGAGGAGGGCTAAGTGCCCAGGAATTTAACATTCTTCTTCTTCTTTATTTTTTTTTTT